ACAGTATAAAGCTGTTTTTAGTTGAGAAATGAAGTATCAGACATTTTATATGAATTTTTATAGCTATTTCAGTATTTTAACATTCTAACAGAACAATTACACATAGTTGAAAACATTCTCAACTGTTTTCATAACTCCTTTAAAGTAACATGATGTGTAATCAGTCTGTACTTAAGAAACTTCATATATCTTATACACAAAAAAGAATACACCTATTCTACTTTTTAAAGCCACTAACCAACTGCAACTATGTAAAAGTCCTAAACCATCTAATCACCCAATAATGTATATTTTCCTAACTTGTGTTTCTAACTTGATTCTCTTTATAAATATGTTAGCCTGATTCCAATTTTTATAGTTAACTGAAGGAAAATAAGTAAAAATCAAAACTTTAAAAAAAACCTTCCTCCTCCTTCAGTGACTTCAGTGTCTTAAATGAAGAGCGGACACTAGGTAATGAGCAATCTTTAAAAAAAAAATACCAAACTTTATACATCCCCAAATAATCCTATAGTTGATAATTACATTTCTAAAAATATTAAGAATTGAGAATAAATCTGGTGGTTAAGAATCATGAGAAAACCTGGATTTAACTGGGGGAAGAAGGGACAAATTTTCTTCAGTAGTTCTTTAAAAAATATATATATATTTTATTTTTCTATGCGCAAAAGAGCTGGGTGTGGGCCAGAACTACCCCCAGTAGGGGGCAGAACAGTAGATCTATTGAAATACACTGCTGAGTGGAGCAGAGGATGAGACAGAAGAGGTCTGCTGCCCTATGTGTTGGAGATGGAACTCATGCTGCAGTGGCCTCCTATAGCATAATAGTGCTGAGACTTAACCCATATGCCACCAGAGAAGCCCTTCAATAGTTCTTGAATACAATTCAAAACAAACATAAAACCGTATCATCCATAGCAGCATAGATGGCCTCAGATATAGTAAGCTATACAGTCTTGCACTGCAGTGATGCTTTGCTCAGAGACAGAAAGCATATATGAGGTCTCTATACACAGCCCACATGTGTAACAGGCTATACTATATCTAGGTTTGTGTAAGTACACTATACGATGATCACACAAGAAAATCACCTAAGCATTTCTCAGAATGTATTTCCGTCATTAAGTGACCATAATTTAAAAATTACTTCTAATAATAAAT